GAGAGAATGGGTTTTTAGAGAGATAAAAATTTGGATTTTTAGAAAGGATAAGAAAGATTTGGTTTTTAGAGAGAGATTGGGTTTCTATCGAGATGATAGGTTTTAGAGAGAGCGATTGGATTTTTAGAAAGATAGATTGGATTTTTAGAGCGAAAAAGAGATATTGGATTTCTAGAGAGAAATAATAGCTTACATTCCAAATTCCAAGATGGTAGATTCATAGTAAACCTTGATAGTATTACTAAACATGAAAGATAAAAAAAAAAAGAAGTGAAATGTAAATCTAAGAAATTTATTTCCTACAAAAAAACTAGTCCATACGAACCAAACTTGCCCCAAGATAATGAAAGTGACGAGGTGAAGAAAAACAAAAGAAAAAGAGAGAAAAAAAAAAGGAGAGGAAAGAGAAGGGGAGAAAAAGAAAGATGGGAGATCCTTGGTCCTAGTCAAGAGGTGGATTGTCTCTCTTATTCTTTCCTCCTTCGCTTTCGCTGTCTTCCCCATTTCCAAATAAACCCTCGCCTCTTTCTACTCTCCCTTCTCCCTTTTCTCTCGGTTCATCATTACTAGAAGAAAAAAGTTTATATAAGGATGCTACCTTATAACGTAGAACTACGAATGCCGCTCAAAAACCCATCGAAAAAGATAGTTTTAATGTTCAAAAAATCTTTTGATTGATCATCTCGACGTCGAGATGTATGACTATGAAAAATAAAAAGATTTTAAGTTTAATAAATAGTGCATTTTACAACATATTATCTGTACCGTTTATTTTCAAGATTTTTATATGTTTATAAATCTACTTGATTTTAACTATTTTTTAAATTTAAAATTTTATAATTAGGTGTAAAAATAGATTTTGAGATAATCATAAGAACATTTTATATCAAAATTATATACCACGATAAAAATTGAGGGTACACCTTACCTCTACAACTTTCCTCTCTTCCTGTTTCCTAATGAGGTGGACCAGGTGGTGAATAGAGTAACAAATACAGGGATCAGAAAGGCCCCTCGTACCATCACCATGAATACAATATGGCTAATTGTGATTTCCCTTAATAAGGACTGCATTTTCCCTCTACCCAGCTTCATGATCATTTTTGTGCTCGAATTTTGGATTCTTTATCCCATAGAGTTAGTAAAAAATGCTTGCCACAGTTTCTCCTGAGCCACTATGACTTCTAACCTAGCTAAGGGTGGCAACGGCGAACTGGATCCAAATTCAACAGACCCGGACCTAGACGTGAAAATATAGCGTAGGACCAGGACGCGTCTCGATCGGACCCGACCTAAAACTTTAAACATGTATTTATTTAGCTATATTAAAATATATTTCATTTATTGAGACCCGAAAAATATTATTGGACCCAGACCCTATTAGATTTGAATAGTATTCGAGTCCAAGATTTGGACTCAAACCCAAACTCAAGCCGCTACGTACAATTTAATTTTTGGACCTATACCCAGACCCAGATCGGGTCTACCCCTAGACCTAGCATTGCACTATAAGTGGCAAAGTTTTCCTCAGGCTGATGGGAATCTCTTCTTGAATAAATTTATACGACCAACAACAAACATGTAATATTCTCATTGTTACCCTGGTTTCGATTGGGGGCTTGGAAGGTATTGCATCCGAGAGGGCGAATTTGGGTGCAAAAGAGAGAGGGGTGAGCAAAGTGTTGTAGAATTCGTTATGCAAGCTAACAACAGGGATAGTTCTTAAAAGAATGTGTTCAAAGACTCCAACGCACACAATAATACTATGTATTTGAAATTTAAAATACACAGGTCATTCCCTTTTCAGCTAATAGCTTATGTAGTTTCCATCTATGCGATTAGCAAAATCTACCTTATATCCAATTTAAAAATTAGAATTAGGAAAAGGAAAAAGTTTATATAATGTTGCAACCTTAAAATGTTGAACTACGGATGCACCTAAAAAATCTATCGAAAAATGTTGTTTTAATGTTGAAAAACACTACAATTGATATCGAGATGTATGATTATGGAAAATAAAAAGAATTTTGAGTCTTAAAAATAGTGCATCTTACAACACTTTTATCTAGACCGTCCATTTTCAAGATTTGCATATATTTATAGATCTACTTGATTTTAACTATTTTTGGAGTATAAAATTTTATAATTAGATATAAAAATTATATGCTATAATAAAATTTGGAGGTGCATCTTAATTGGATTGTTTAAGGTTGAAACGTTATGGAAACCACACCTTTAGGAAAAGGCCTCCAAATTTTGGCGTATTACATGCATAATCCTTTTGTCCATCTCTTTCTTTCTAAATTTTTTTTTTTTTTTCTATAAAATTCTAGATGCCTCCCTCTCTTTTTTTAGTGTAAAGCACACCACTAACCCTAAAACTGCATATTTTTACAACCACCTAAAACTGCATATTTTTACAACCACCCACCCAAAGTCAAAAGTAATGTCTTTTAGGATGAAAATACCCCTCCTAACACACATTTCCCACCTCGTCCCTCAATTTTTAAAAGAAAAAGTTTATATAAGGTTGCACCTTATAATGTAGAATTAAAGATACACCTCAAAAATCCATTAGCAAAGGTTGTTTTAATGTTGAAAGCCTTCTAATAGATTACCTCGACATTGAGATGTTTGAATATGAAAAAAAATAAAAATTTGAGGTCTAGAAATAGTGCATATTCAAACACATTATCTCAACCGTTTGTTTTCAAAATTTCATATGTTTATAAATCTATTGATTTTAATCATTTTTGGAGTTTAAAATTTTATAATTAGAAACAAAAATAGATTTTTAGATAATCCTAAAAAAAAATTACACAAAAATTACATGTTTCGATAAATTTAGAGGTGCGTCTTAATTAGATTGTTTAAGATTGCAACCTTATAGAAACCACAACCATTTTTAAATGATTCCAGTCTAGTACAATGTGTCTCATACCAGCATCATTTCAAATTATGTGTCAATTTGGCACAGATTGACTTCATTTTAAACCATTGCCACTTATATAGACTGGATTCATTTTAAACAATGTGTAAGTCCTCATATATTATGCCAGACCGGCACAATATTTGAAATAAAGCCGGTCTATATCAATGGCACATTATTTAAAATAAAAATGGTTAGGCACGCATTGTGATTAATCGGTTTGATTTTTGTCATCCTAAAAGACACTACCTTTTGACTTAAAAGGAGTGCTTGCAAAAATAAACATTTTTTTATATATAGTTGCGAAGTAATTTTTTTTTTGGGGGTATTAAAGCTTTAGTTTTTGGATATGTGAAGTTGGATGGAAATCTCAAATAGAATGCAACTTCTAATATTAAAATTTTGAAGTCAAAGTAACTTTCGATTTCAATATCCAAAGTGATTTAGCACGCCCCAGCCCCCCCGCCCCCCCAGACACACACCTAAAAATGACTTAAAAATAGTATGACTACAAATATTGAAAATTCGAAGTTATTTATACATCATATATTCAATCTACGAGCTAGGAGTTTGGTATAAAAAACAATAGATAAAAAAGATATGCATGCAATATACAAAAATTAAGTGATATTTTTTATAAGAAAAAAGTTTATGTAAGTGTAAGGCACTAAACAATCAAATTAGGGCGCACCTCAAAAATTTCACTAGGAGAGGTTGTTTTGATGATCACATATCCTCAAATTGATCATCTCAACATCATGATGCATGGACATGAAAAAAAATGAATTTCAAGTCTTGGAAATGCTACATCTTATAATGCATTTTTGGACCATCAAGTTTCAAGATTTTCAAGTTTTTATAGATCCGCTCGATCTACACTATTTTTGAAGCTATAAATTTCAAGAAAAGTATAGAATGAGACCATTTACCTTTGATACTAGGTGGTCACATTAATCTTGGCCATTGAATGTGAATTGGGTGGCCGAAACTATTCCATTGACTAAGCTTAAACTTCAAAAAAAATTTTCTCGAACTTTGTGACACATTCAAGCTATCAAGTTTCACATCGGAAGGTTGTAAGTAATTGTGACCACCTTGTATCAAAAGTAAATGGTCTCATTGTATACAATCCCATTTTATAATTAGAGATAAACATATATTTTAAGGCTTTCACAAAAATTTCCAATATTGAAACCACATTTATCTATACTAGTCAAAGATGTATTTTATTTTAATTGTTTAAAGCCTCAGCTTTATACAAACCGCGCCTTTTTTTATAATTACAACTTTTAAATGAGATATACAAGTTATTTCTCTAGGTTTTAACATACAGGCATGTACCTGCGGCCTCACCGTTGCCTCACCTCATATGCCGACCAAATCTACCCTATCACCAAAAGCAATAAGGAATGGGATTTGGCCTTTCAGTGTTGGATTGCATGAACCGGACCGGTAAACCGGCCAAGGGCCAGGTCCAACCCATGAACCGGCCAGTTCACCGGGCCTAATATGGCAAGTCCTAGTCGGGCTAAAAAGTATTTAAAAAAAAACAAAAAATCTTAAAGAAATATAAAAACTATATCTAAGGATAATTTAAAAAAATATACATCCAAATAAAGTTGAAAAGTAGTGAAAAAATGGATTTTAAGAAATCGATATGTGGTAAGGTATTTTAGAAATAATCCAAAAAAGAATATAAAAAAAAAGTAAAATTAAATATTCAGGACCAAAACACTTTCCAAAATGATAAAAAAAAATTACAACCAAATCATTTATTTTTTGGTAATTTATATATATATTTTAATTTTTCTATAAAAACCTGGACCACCTAAACCGGGCAAGACCAACTTGGCGAGTGGCCAGTTTACCCATCTGGTTCCGAGTCAACCGGGCCGGGATGTGGAACCGTGGTCGCTCCACACCCATAAACTCCCACGAAGTGGCTGCCGCCAACCCTTTGTAACCTTCTCAATAAAAAACGAAACCATTAACGCTCACCACCACCTCCTTTCCCCCACTAACTCACGCGCGCACGCACGCACGCACGCACGCACACCCTCGCCTCATCGCATTCTTTCTGCACGCTATATATGCAAAATCCCATCCCCAACCCTATACACACACAGCCCGTCCCCCTCTCTTCTTGAAAGCTCAAAACCTCTTCTCCCCTCTGCTCTAAAAATGGCGAGTCTCCTCGAACTATCCACAACCCTCCTCATCATGGCCTTCCTGAGCAGCTCGGTTGTTGCTCGTCCCCTCCAGCGTGTGGTGCGTCCTCTCGGTCCACTGGTGGGTGCACGATTGCTCGAGGAGGGCAGCATGCTGGAGTGCTGGAACGCGCTGGCGGAGCTGAGCTCATGCTCGGGCGAGATTATATTGTTCTTCATGAATGGTGAGACATATCTCGGGAAGGATTGCTGTAGGGGAGTGCGGGTCATTACGAGGCACTGCTGGCCGTCGATGTTGACATCCGTGGGTTTCACGGCCGAGGAGGGCGATATTCTCAGGGGTTACTGCGATGCTGGCGACGAGGCACCGGCCCCAGAAGTGGTGGCTCCATGAGTTGGTAGCTTGGCTTGGCTTGGCTTGGCTTGGCTTGTTGGGCGTGGTTTTTTTTAGGTATAATGAACCGTTTGGTTCTGGAGTTTGTCTGTGTGGTTGAATATGTAAGCTTGTCACTTTTTTGGTTTTGTTTTGCAAACCTCTTTGCTTTCTTTAATGTCTGTCTCTGTCTCTCTCTTTAGCTGCCGTTTGGGTGAATGTGTAGGATTGATTGAATCAAACATGGGCTTGGCTTCAACCCCGCCTAACCTACAAGTCCCACGCGGTTAAGGGGTATTTTTTAAATTTTTTAAAAAGATGGGAATGTAAAAATAAATATTAATGGCTAATTTTTTTTTTTTTGGATAAAATGATAAAAAATATTTTAAAAATATATTGCAAATAAAATCCCTTATTTTTTTATATTTTAAGACCAGTTTGGATGTCAAGCAAAAAAAACATTCACATTAAAAAAAAATTGTAATTCTTTTCAACCTTATTAATATTTTTTTTTTTTTTTTTTTAAGTAGTTTGCTGGATGGTGTGAACATATTAAAAGCAAAAGAAACCCCATAACCTTTGTTTCATGGAAGTCCCAAAATTACACACTCTCTCTCTCTCTCTCTCTCGTTTGAAGCACCTAATCAGTCTCTCTCTCTCGTCATGGAAGCTTGGGTCCCTCTCTCTAACCCCAATTACAGCAGGGCTTTGCTGCCCTCTATCTCTCTCTCGTCTTAGAAGCTTGGGGCCCTCTCTCTTTCTAAACCCATTTACAGCAGGGTTTTGCAGCCCCCTCTGTCACTCATTTTAGAAGCTTGGGATGCTCTCTCTTTCTTTAACCTCATTCATAGCAGGGCTTTGCAGCCCTCTACCTCTATCTCTCTCTCTCTCTCTCATTTTGGAAGCTTGGGGCTCTCTCTCTCTAACCCCATTTACAGCAGGGCGTCACTCATTTACAGTAGGTTTTGCAGTCCTATCTCTCCTCTCATCTTAGAAGCTTGGGGCCCTCTCTCTCTCTAACCCCATTTTCAGCAGGACTTTTGCAGCCCTCTCTCTCCCCCGGTCTTAGAAGCTTTGGCCCTGTCTCTCACTAAACCCATCCATAACAGGGCTTTGCAGCCCTCTAGCTATCTCTAACCCATTTACAGCAGGACTGTGTGTCACTGAGAGGCGAGAGAGGAGAGAGAGCAGAGAGACAATAGGGAGTTAAAGAGCAGAGAGGGTTGAGAGAGAGGGAGGCGAGAGATAGCAGAAGAGGCACCGACGGAGACGAGGGAAAATGCTGCACTTTCATCTGAAAAAATTCAAGTCTAACTTAAAGTCCTACACTCATTTGTACTCCCATTAAACTGGTGGATTTTGTAAATACGATGCTGGTATCTCTCTCATCTTGACACATAAGTATTGGGAAGAACATTGGTGGTGAGGTACCCTTGTTTTCCTTCCTTCTTTCTTTCTTTTCTCTTCTTCTTTTTTTTTTTTTCTTTTTTTTTTTTTGAAATGTTAAAATTATATTGCGTATGGGGGACTCAAATCCTTGACATGAAAGTGCAGAGACATGCTTGATAACTAAAAAACCAGTTCAACCCCAAGTTGATGGTGAGGAACTCAAAGAAATCAGTATTTAAGAAATTTTCACATGAAAAAAAATTCGTGCATAGTCCATAATTTGGGACGTATGATATTGGATGCGGTTTGTACAATGCCCAAGGCTCTAAACAGTCAAACTAAGGCCCACTTTCAAATAGTGTTGAGGAATGTGTTTTCAATATTGAAAATCTTTGTGATAGCTTTAAATTTTTATCTCTAATTATAAAATTTAAAGTTTAAAAAATAGTGTAGATCGAGGAGATCTATGAGACCTTGAAAATATTGAAAATTGACGTTCAAAAAATGCATTACAAGAATTACTACTCCCAAAACTTGAAATCTATTTTTTCTCATGTCTATTTAGGCACGTATGGCATGCACCCAAGCATGTTGTACAATAATTCTTTTGGCTAAAAGAGGAACTTGGGAAATTTTTTTATTTTCATTTAAAATCTTGGAATCCAAACATCACCCTATGATTATTTTGATTATTTTCAAGAAAAGCTATACTTTGGTTTGAAGACCTCGAACTTGCCTTCCAAAATTATCTTAGGACCACTATATTTTTTCAGGCACATAAATGTGACTCAAAAACTTTTTTATTTTCATGTTCGTTATTAGGAGGTCACATCCACAAAATTTGGGTTCCAACAAATGTCCAAGGCTTGACTTTTGCCGATGGAGCAAATGAACAATAAGTTGGTGCAGGAGCATTGCGATGATTTTTACATGTAACATGTTGTTTTATTTACCGTACTGTCGTGCTATATTTTCACATAATGAAGCTTATTTTTTCAAGATGAGAGAAAAAATGATAGGTGTTAATAAAATATCACAAATTTTTTTATTTTTTTTTCTATTTTTATATTCATATTCACCAAAGCTGGGATTCTCAATTCATGAATTTTTAGATCCGAGATTTATCTCTGAAATGAATTTTGGAGAGAGGACTCATATGAATTGATGAGTAAGTGGACTTACCAAAAACTTTTTCTTTGTATTATAGTGAAATTTTAAAGGAAAATGGTTTGATAAGGCTGCAGCCCTATCAAAGTAAATAAAGCCTCACCTCATAAGATCATCTTGAGGTTGTTAAAAAAGAAAAAAAGATTAAAAGATCTAAAAATAATGTATATTGTAACAAATTATCTAGACCACCTATTTCGCCCTAAAATAAAATGTTCACTCTGCAAGATCTGTACCATTTTTTTAGTTTCAAATTTTATTGTCGTTGGAAATTGATTTTAGAGCCATCATGAATATTTCTTTTGCCGAAAATACTTTCCAAACAAGGATTTAAGATGAGGATTTATTTTGTTTTCATAAAGCCTAAGCCGCTTAGAAAGTTTAAATTTTGCAATAAAGGTGTACCTAAAAAAATATTCAATGAATTCGTCAAAAATAAATCGATCAAAATTCCCCTATACATTTTAAATGTATTTTGATCAAAATTCCTCTGCACATTTTAGAGATTTTCTTGGACAAAAGAATCAGTTATATTATAAGAGATTTTTTTGGATAAGAGATAGTACACACATACTTTAGGTAATATTTTAAAATCTCTAATCTATATCACAATATCTCTACTAGTTATTTCCTATTTCTCTCTCTAAATATTTCCTCACATCTTCCTATTTCTCTCTCTAAATAAGAGAGTCCTCTCCCTATCACATCTTCCTATTTCTCTCTATCTCTCTCTTAACACGCACCTCTTTTCTTATAAGAAAAAACTAAACAATATCACTGCTTATTATATCCTCTCCCTATCACTTCTTTTTATTTCCCTCTCTAAATGTATACGTTATCTCTCTTTCTTTCTCTTACACGCATTTTTTTTCTCATCTAAAAACTCCTCTAGCCCACATTTCTCTCCCCCAAATATTATAATATCTTAAAATCTCTAATCTATACGAAGAGATAATGTCGTATAGATTCTCCAAGCCCACATCGCCATTCACATTTACATCGGGATCCGATTGTACATGTCCGTTTCGGTGGTAGGAAGCTTGGGCATCCCTACTAAGGGTGAGGGAAATCTCTACCATGTATGTTCCTTCTTTTTCAGCTTTAGTATTCTATAAGAGTGTCTTCTTTTTTTTTCTTTTCTTTTCTATCTTCAAGGTGAATATCACTACAAAATCACAGCTAAATCAACTATTTTACCTAAAAAAATGAATTTATTACTGCCCAAGAGTATTAACTTATTTAATTATTAAAAATAATTTACTTCTATAAGTAATTTTTTTGGTAAATTAGTTGATTTAACTATCTCATTGATTTTTCCCCTTTTTCTTAATATGAATACTCCCCAAAGTAATTTTAACATTTTTCTTAATTTTTTTATTTTAATGTAATTACTAACTTATCAATTTTACCCTTTTTTTGTTAATTCTGTTATTTTTTTAGTTTTTTTATCTTCAAGGGGAATATCACTAAAAAAAATTCAGATAGTTACTATCACCATTGTGATTTGAATTTTTTTTTTTTTTTTTTATAACAATAATTGGGAATGCATGTTTCAAACACACGGTAAAATTGTTCATTTCTCTGTTGTTTGGCTGCAAGTGATAACAACTTTCAATATATGGAAAAAGGCTGATAGCTGTTTACTTATAGTACAGCGCTTCCATTATTTTTGTAAATCGTATTAATACTATATATATTATAAAGATGAAGTTTAAAATGTTTTCATAACAATAGAAATATAACTTATATGCTCCGGAATAATCTATTCCGGAATATCGCTTTTATTTTTAGGAAATTTAGCAAAATACACTGAAAATTTTAACTTTAATAATTTATGATTTTCAAGTATTCCAACTTAGGATTATGCATATTGTGAAAATAAATAAATAAAATATTAAGCAGTTGATGTCTTATGTGTATTTTGAAAATTTTCCTTCATTTTTTTTTCAGGCTAATGGCTTCGATGCCAAGGATACTGAGGGGAGAAATATTCTTCGGATACAGTTTGAAGAGTGTGGATGTTTGGCTTCTTCTGAAATTACTTGATTTTTTTTTGTTTATTTTGTTGTGTTAGGATGTAAACCATTTTTTAGGTGAATTTTTCCATCCCAAGATTGTGCTTTGTTTACCACTATGTTGTTCGTTTAATAATAATATTTTCATGCAATATTATGATTTTTTTCCATTTTTTGGAAGGAGGTTTGATCATTGATTATTGTGAGATTTGCTATATATTGGACCAGGTTTTCGTATTTGCCTTTGTTTCTTTAGCTTTGCTATTTTTCTTTTTGGTTTTTGGCGGATATTGTGCTCGATCGTAGAATTTGATACTTTTAGGAATTTTTTTGTTTCACCGATTGGTGGTTTGGGTATCTTAAAATCTATTACGGAAAAATATATTACAAAAAATATGAAATTTACTTTCAATAATAAGAAAATGCAAATAAATTACAGAAGATTTATCTTAAATACATAAATGTAAATAAATTACATAGTATTTCCCTAAAATACGAAAATTTACACTAAGATTTCTCCAAAATCGAACGGAACGAATTCAACAGTAAGAAAATGGAAATAAATTATAGAAGATTTC